TTTCTGTGAAAGAGAGAATTCTGAATACCACGGGTTTCTCGAGTTTGAAATTCACCAAAGATTTCCTCATCGTAGATTTCATCAGCAGCAGCACCGGTAAGCCAACAGGGAGAAAGATGCATAAACAGACAAACAAAGCGGCTCGTGCTGTAAAGTTTATTGATTTCTGGGAGGATGCAGATCTGAAACTAAAAGAATTAAATATAGATCATGAAGCATTCGAAGAAGAAAACAGAGAACGCGTCGCCAGTGAAATTGCATTTCAAACACGAACACCTATACTAGCGGAGCGTCTGCGTCTGTACGAGAAAGAACTGGTGGATATGTACAACGAATACCAACACTTGAAGTCAAAGAAAGCAATGTATGAAACAATGAATGCACAGAAAGCTGCAGCTCTTGAGGCTCAGGGGGAGAATCTAAGAGAATCTGAGTTGAGTGAAGGAATGTATGAACAGACTGAACGTATCATTGAACTCATGTACGTCATCGCAGCTCACCACGGGTACATGTGGACTCGATATGAAGCCCTGAAAGAGCAGAGAAAGAAGTTGCCGCTGCAGGATGCAAAGCAAGCAGAGGCGTTGTTGAAACTTGAAAAGAAACTGATCGAGGTGATGAAGAAACGCAGAGAATTGAACAAGAAATACGTCGATCAAGGCAATCATCCAACGCCAGCTGATGCTGAACAAATAAAAGAATTCGTTATAAAATCCCGAATACTGAAACGCGATATAAATGAATTTGAACAGGTGATGCAGGAGGAGGAGGCGAAGGAAGCAGGAGAGAAAGAAGGAGAAAAAGAAGAGAATACAGAACAAAACAACAAAACAACTACAGAAGAAGAATTACCTGAAATTAAACCTCTAGATCAGAGCATAGAAGCTCGACTTGAAAGGAAACGACGACAACTAGAGGAACATGAACGGGTGCTTCAAACTATCAACTCATTGGCGGCGATAGAAAGAGAAAAGATGAAAGAGGATATAGGTATGCTGCAGCGTCAACATGAAAAGCTACGAGCAGAGGTAGAAAGACTTGAAGGTATTTTAAATAGAAAAGAATGGGCGGCGGATAGACGGCCATCTGAACTATGGGAGAAACGGCTACAGAAACACGATCTAGAGCAGACGTTGACGCAGCTAGAAGCATATAAAGAATCTATATTAACTTTACCGAAAGTACAACGCAGAACGAAAGATTTAAATGATGCTGTTGCCAGTATAGATATGCAAAAGATAGATATAGAGGAACAGCTTATGGAGCTATCTGATGAACTATATAACACAACACCAACACCACTACAGGAGAAATTCATACAACAACTCGATAAACTCCGAGAAGTTTCATTGCTTGTAGATAGCCGAAACACCATGCCAGCTGAAGCTCTTGAGGATCCCGAAATACAAAAAAGTTTGAAAGAGGCAAATGAAGCTCTCGAGCTGTTGCAGCTAGAAGTAGATACAGCTGACGAAGCTTTACGTAAAGAACTAAATGACTTAGATGAGGCCTGGCTGAAACGAATGATAATAAGAGGAGCAGATATGAAACAACTAGCTGAAGAATTCTCTATCGATATAAATCAAGTTCTAGATGAAGATGCAAAGGCTAGAGAAGCAGACCCTAATAAACAACTCAAATGGGTTAATGAACAAATCTCTATGTTCGAGGATAGATTGCAATCTATAGAGAAACTTCCGCCAGAAAGAAAAGAAAAATTCGCTTCCGATAAAGAACAAATTCAAGCCAGAGTCGCTGAACTATATAAACAAAAAGAAAAAGCAGAGAAAGATATACAAGAAAGAGGAGGGAAACCAACAGACAGCACAGAACAAACAGCAGCA